AAGTACTATACCACGCCTTGAGCTTTGTGCCGCTCTTCTAGCCACAGAACTAGCTCATACGGTATTCCAACAGCTTGACTTAAATCGAGATTCTGCAAAATACTATACAGATAGCAAGGTTGTATTAGGATACCTGCATAACCGAACTCGACGATTCTACAATTATGTCAGCAACCGGATCAACATGATACATAGGCGATCTAAACCAGAGCAGTGGTCCTTTGTTTCCACACAGGACAATCCAGCTGACATTGGAACTCGGTGTCATACATCTGTCGAGGACTTGTCTCAAAGCGATTGGCTCAGAGGACCAATACAACTGAGGTCTGTAGAGAAGGTAGAGGATGAAAGCTTTCCCTTAGTCAATCCAGACACAGATGCAGAAATACGACCCATAGTTTGTGTCAAGAAAACAGAGGTGAAGGAGCATTTAGTGAGTCGATTTGAAAAGTTCTCCTCATGGACGAGATTAGTGAATGCGATCTCATACCTAAAGAGATTTTGCAGAGGCAAAGTCAAGTTTTCAGTGCGCAGTATTGAAGATACTCAAGAAGCAGAACGTTTCATTATCAGGGAGGTACAGAAATTCTGGTATGGAGATGACATGAAGCATTTACAGGAGAAGAAACCACTTTCCTTGAAAAGCAACATTATTGCTCTTCATCCCTTCGTAGATGATGATGGAATTTTACGTGTCGGTGGACGTCTGAATAAGGCACCTTTCTCTATAGATGAAAGAAATCCCATCATCCTTCCAGGGAAATCGCACATCGCCACACTTCTCGTTACTCATCTGCATGAGAAAGTTTATCATCAGGGTAGACTCATCACGGAAGGTACAGTAAGATCCAAGGGCTTTTGGATCATTGGATGTAAGCGCCTTGTTAATTCCATCCTGCACAAATGTGTAGTGTGCAGGAAACTCAGAGGGAAGTTAGAATTCCAACAGATGGCTGACTTACCACCAGACCGAGTAACGCCTGGACCTCCATTCAGTTCAGTCGGGGTCGACGTGTTTGGACCTTGGCCTGTAGTGGCCCGACGAACTAGAGGTGGCCTTTCCCAAAGCAAGAGATGGGCTGTAATATTCACATGCATGAAAACAAGAGCAATACACATAGAGGTTATTGAAGAGATGAGCAGCTCATCGTTTATTAATGCCTTACGACGATTCATCTCAATTCGTGGACCTTTGAAAGAAATCCGTTCTGACAGGGGAACCAACTTTCTAGGAGCCCTTGATGACATAAAGGCTGAAGCTGTCTACACAGAAAAGGGACCAATTCACAATTACCTTCTTGAAAATAGGATAATTTGGACTTTCAACCCCCCACATGCATCCCACCGAGGTGGAACCTGGGAAAGGATGATTGGTGTGTCAAGAAAAATACTGGACTCAATGTTACTCAACGCAAACACAAAGCAGCTCACGCATGAAGTCTTGTGCACCTTTATGTGCGAAGTTTGTGCCATAGTAAATTCAAGACCCATTTGCCCAGTATCATCTGACCCAGAGAACCCGCACATTATCAGCCCTTCGATGTTGCTTACACAGAAGGAATTTCCTGATGTTCATCCTGTTAGCTCAACTGATATCAAGGATATATACAGGAAACAGTGGAAACATGTACAGTGTCTGTCAGATATCTTCTGGAAACATTGGCGGAATGGTTACCTACAGCAACTCCAAGTGCGACGTAAATGGCAGAATGAACGTCCAGATGTGAAAGTCGGGGATGTCGTCCTTTTGCGTGACAAAGAAGCACACCGTGGACACTGGCCTCTAGGACTAATTGTGAATGCGTTTAAAAGTGAGAGTGACCACAAAGTAAGAACAGTTGAGGTACGCGTCATCAGAGATGGTAAACCAACGACATATATCCGACCTATTACAGAACTTGTTATCTTGATTGACTAAGATAAACATTTAAAAATTGTGCTTAAGAATGTCTGTAAATTGTATGAGAATGTCTTTGTAAATTGTAATATCTTTCAGATATTAGGCGGGGAGTGTAATGTCTCCGAATCAACTATGTACGAGTTAACCTTTTGTTTTGTTTATTAGGAGAGTTATTTCCCGTAGTTTGGCAAGCGCCATATTTTTACCTGTGCAAAATTTACTAGATTTTGTGACTTTGTAGCCCTATAGTGTAAGTACACTTTCATTTGATATGATATTAAGATCTAAGAATTCATGTGTTATAATGCAAATCTTGTAAAGTCAAATGTTTCAGCAATTTTAAGTATTATTTTTGCATCGTTAACATGACCCGGTTTTTTGTGTAAGGCTAAGCACGTGGTTTGTGTTCTAATCATTTTCTGAGATTTATACTGTTTAGTCACTGTATGATATCCCATACGGAAAAAAAGGGCAAACAAACTACTATAACAAATTACTAACAAACCACTATGGTTTGAAAGTAGTTTAATAGTATAGCAAATCACATGCAAATGAGCTAACAAACTATACTCTAACAAACTACTATCAAACCACTCTTAACAAACTACTATCAAACCACTCTAACAAACTACTATCAAACCACTCTTACAAACTACTATCAAACTATTCTAACAAACTACTATCAAACCACGCTAACAAACTACTATCAAACCACTCTAACAAACTACTAACAAATCACTGGTAACAAATCCATCAGCAAAACACTAGAATTGAATTTTCCTTTACAAATTAATCCACAAGTCTTTGAAAACACCTAAAACAATCACATTTTGAAATATTCAACAAGTCTTGTTTCAGAGTATTTAAATTCCAGGATTCACAAGTTTAGCCAATGCAAGTGCAACATTCCAACATGTTCCCTTTTGTTTAGGAGATGCAATTCCAAGTCAATGTCCATGTACTTGTCACATATTCTCCTTCATGTTGTGACATCTTCATAGTATTTTTCACCAAAAAAAAATGTTCTTCAAGCTGACATTTAAATTTTCTCTGCTTCATCTGGCATGGAAAATGCTGCAATATTTCCTTTTTTCTGGCCTCATTGCAACTTTGAAAAACATCTTTTTTGTCTTATTTTCAAGTATACTTCCCATAATCCAATGCATAACTGATCTAAACTAGTATAGGAATTAATTAGGTCAATCTGAAAATAAATAAAAACCCAAAGCTAGTAAAAAGCATACGCATCCACATTCACAGAAGGTTACGTACTGTAGTCCAGCCTTACTTTAGGTAAAAAGGAACTTCATGACATGCATTAAATACCTCTTCTGTATCCAGATCCATCTTTTAATAATGTTAAATGCTGCTTTTTCCAGTCAGAGATCTTAGAGAATGATACTAACAATTTGAATGTCCCTTCACCAGTTCCTTCGTTTCTGACCTGCTTGTTGGTTTGAAAATTGGCGCAAATAGCTAACACCGGATGTAAAGATTAAGCTGTTCTTGGAAACTTCAACAATTCTAGATAATTCAACCCTAAACACGTCTGTAAAGTAATTTCCCATGTGGTTAGATGCAAATGCTATACTAATAAAACACTGTTGCAAGATTCCAAGTCTAACAAACTATAAAGAAATCACAATCACCAGAAATGAAAGACTAACAAACCACTGCAGCTATTTTTAGAAAAAGTGGTTTGTTAGTGGTTCATTAAATGCTATACTATCAAACTACTTTAACAAACCACAAAAATATAGTTTGTTGGTAGTTTGTTGATAGTTTAATAGTAGTTTGTTAAAAATCTTTTCCGTTTGGGATACTTGTATATGTAAATTTATAAGGATAATTTAATGATTTCTTGCCAAGATATCACTACTTTCTTTTGTTTATTGTTTAGAAGTAGATTGCTGTTAAAAGTATGGAAACTCGGTTCGGTCATAAATATTACATAATATAGTCTACATTTTATGTCAGTCATTTTGTATGCAATTTCTAATAACTTTTTATGTAATTTACAGTCTTTTACTGCATCAGTACTGAATAAAGGAGATGAAGCCTTCTCGTTAACTGTTCCAGTATATTTGCCATTACGCATGCCTCAAAATTTAATTCGAATAAGCTTCGCTAAGCGTTCACACGGAGCTAATGCGAAGTAATTAAATGCGCAGTAAACTAATTTAATGCCCTGTTCACACGGAGAGTTTAATTCAACTTAAACGTAAAAATACTGCGAATTAGCTTCACTTAGCGTTCACACGGAAAATTTCATGCGAATTAGTTTAATACGAATAAGTTTACTGCGCATTAAATTGATTCGAATTAGCTCCGTGTGAACGCTAAGCGAAGCTAATTCAAATTAAATTCTGACGCATGCGTAATGGCAAATTTTAGTAAAATACAACTTGTTGATGGTCAGCTATGGGTACTTGTGCTATGTTTTGAGTAAAAAACCAAGGGAAATTTTGTTTATCAATAAAATGTGTGTAAAGACACTGTGACATTATGTCAAATGGATCTGCTTCTGCATAAAGTGACGTGATTTGCAAATGACGTCATAATAGCCGTGCTGACGCCGGGCTGCAGAAGCAAAATTTTAATTCGCATTAGTTTACTTCGCAATAGCTGTCGTGTGGACGCAATTTAACTTGCATTAGTTTGATTCGAATTGGTTTACTTCGCATTAATCTACTGCGAATTAAACACTCTGTGTGAAAAGGGCATGAATTAAACTAATTCGCATTAAATTCTCCGTGTGAACGCTAAGCGAAGCTTATTCACAGTTACTTTACGTTTAAGTCGAATTAAACTCTCCATGTGAACAGGGCATAATTCGCATCAGTTTGATTCGCATTAGTTTACTTTGCATAAAATAACTGCGAGTTAGACTCTCTGTGTGAACGGGGCATTAATTAGAAGTGGGTTTCAATATGAATGAAAAACATATCGACCTTGCACTTCGATACAATTTTTGAATGCTTAATGATGTTGTTTCCCTTCTTGGAAAAAATCAAGACATACAAATTTAATTCTTCATCGCTTTTTAATATGTAGACTGAAAAAATTAGGGTGATATTATAGAATGATTGTTTCTTTTTAGTGAAGTTTGCCTGGAGACGCCCTTTCATTTTGTATTTAGAGGAAGACCGTGCTGGTTTACATTAGCAGAGGCAAAATTATGGTTTGAAGCAGGTAGTTTAATTGATATGCTGTACAGTTATTGTGTAAGGGTTGTCTGGTAATATCCTGGACAAAGAGTTTTAATAAAAAAAAAGCGGTCTTAACTAAAAGAATCAACCGACGAATCTCTCTATTTTGGATCCTTTCCCCATTCTTAAAGGATAAGAATATGGAAATAACGAACAGAAATCAGTCTCAAAATCCATAAAACAATATAAAATTTGAGCAGAGCAAACACGGACCCCCGAAACATCAGAGGTGGGATCAGGTGCCATGGATGGAGTGAGCATCCCTTGCCGACCGGTCACACCCGCCGTGTGCTCCTTGTGAATCCAAAATAGAAAGTAATAGAAATAGATTCGATTCGTATACATGGTTATAAGACACAGAACATTTTATAAAACCAATGCCTTGTTGCTATTTAAAAAATATGAAGCAACATCTATATCTGTGTCGCCGTCCTGAATTTGACATATACCCGGAAATGGATCTTGGGTCACAGGATAAATGTTAATAGGAAATATATGTACGTCCATTCTTTTCTAAAATCGTTTATTATCAAAATGTAGACAAAAAGCTTTTTTATAATATTTAAATGTGTACATGGTTTGGTCCTTAATTAAGAATTGCCCAAACTCGAAAATCCTATTTCGAGGGGAGGGGGGGGGGTGGGTGGGCCCATCTGGCCCCCTGGTTGCTACGTGCCTGATATCACTACGTTTTTCCAATTAAACAAAATAGTTACCTCCATTCATGTGTACTATGTATCCTAGTGAACCTGAAATTTAAAAAAAATTAGAGGTTATGTGAGCGATGAGCTAACTAAATGATACCCCCCCCCTCTTCCATATAGTTATAATGGCAAAGTCCATGTTTTGCTGTGGCCGTGAAACCCAAAATATGTATCAGATCAAAAAGTAAAATAAGAGGTGCACAATGACAATATGTAATATCAAGATTCTGTGAAAGTTTCATCAAATTTTATTTGAAGGGGTATGAGAGGAGTTGCGGATAAGAGATGGATACCCCAAAGCGTAACAGACGGACGGTCGGAATTAACGATTAAAAAGTGTAGGTTTCATCAGCAAATAGGCGAGTACACATTGTATTTTGAAACAGAAGTATTTCATAGGCATAATTATGTAAACATTTATAAAATGTTTATTCACAATGAATTATGTTGTCATTTAAACAATATCAAGCTTAACTTTTGACGGTTTCCCTACCATCTGAAATGAGTAAGCAGTCAACACAACATAAAAAAGTGGCGACATTTGACGACGTTGCGGCGCACTGGATAGCAGTTTAATTTCATTTCGAAATAAAAATGAAATCCTTAAAGACTTTAAATGACTACAGAAGAAAAAAAAATAAAAGAATCACTTGACCTTTAGTATACAAGCTAAATTTGAGTATTCTAAGCGTATCTTTTTGATCGAGTCCCTGGGTAGAAAAAAAAAACATATGTACAAACAATTAAATACCATCAATAACGAAAGACGCTGTAACTGTAGACCAACTTTGTTAAGTGGCATACTTCGTTAATTGATAATGACAATCTTGTCCATAACTTACTAGTCCTATACCATCAGATTTTGTGCAAATGTAGTTCATAAACTGTATATGGGAGAATAAAGGGAAACTCTACAGCTGTAGCGTGACCATCGATAATACTTATTTTAGCAAAGAAAACCTTGACGCTGCTTTAGACACGTTATCAATAGACAATACAAAACAATGTCTTATCTCATTAGTGTTTATTAAAAAAATTCTTCATTCGAAATCTGCTAGATTTATTGATAAAATTTCTACTAAAGAGTAGCTATAGTGAACATTTTAAAGCAAAGTAATAGTTATTTTTGATCTAGACAAATTTTCCACGATTTTACCGGACAACCCTCATAAAGATAAATGAAAGAAATTTAAAGTTAAAACTCATTTTATGTAGATTAATATATGCCAGAAAGGTCAAATTAATTTAAAAGTTGCTCAATAATTATTTAGAAGCTAGTTTCTTTTAAAATGTAAAGATAACGAAAGGGAGGCTTGCACAAAATTTAACAAGTCAAAGATTTTAACCATGTTATCATGGTTATTTTAGGTTAGGAAATCAGTCGATTAATTTTTATTTACTTAAAAAGATATAAATAATGAGAAAATGTCGTGATTGTTTATCATGTTGCGCAAAAACAGTCAATATCAATCATAAGAAACTATGTCAAACTTTAAAAAAGAATTATTTATTTTTACTGATTTATGTTTTGAAATTGCATGTAGATTACTTTTTTTCTCTTGCTCTTACAGAAACCGGCGATTGTCCTAAAAAATGTCAAGTAAAAATCAGCAACATAGAAAATGAGGCATGGAGTCATTATCACCAATCTTATTACACACTCCACTATCAGCTGAATTCATTTACACTTAGATTCAATGGTTTAAGTGAGAATTTGACGATAATCAACACAAGCTGTACTTCTTCGTATACAACTAGAAGAAATTTGAAAATTATTTGCAGATCAGATTTTGACAAAGGTGAACCTGAATAAACTGCATGTGGTTCAGAAACTATAAATAAGACTGTTTAGGTCCTTGAGCCTAATTGTCATTTTCTTTTTAGCAGTAGACGACTCAAACGACTTATGTACATCAATTAAAAAGTGCGAAGATGAAACCAAGACATGTTCCTTGAAAGGACAGATCGGTGTCTGTGTGTGCAATCCTGGATATATCGGATTAGGGAACGAATGTTTGCAGGGTAAATAGTAAATAGTAAAAAGCATGTAATATTTGTTATTTAAAAAGAAGGGAATTTTTCGGAATAATAATCAACATGATCAACAAAACAGTTTTTTATATTTTTTTACACTCAGGGTTTTCCATGAGTTGTTGTACTTTGGCGGCCTCGACACAGAAAATTTCCGACATAGCTACGATTCAAAGTTTTGTGACTGCAACTTTTGAGCCACAATAAGATTTACTAAAAATGAGACACATTAATCCCTCTAGATCTAACCAATACTCAGTCTTATTAATCGAAATGCAGATTACATGTACTTCATTTACAATGAATTAATTAGGGCAAATTGTCTGGCTTGACATTGCATTTTTAATCATATCTTAAGCACTCGCTGGGCATTACGCAAAAATAAAACAAAGACAAAGTATAGATTTTAATGCTCCATTGTAACTGAATCAATATGTGTTTGTGAAATAATGAACCCCAATTTAGCAGTTTATGGCAAAAGATAAAGTTTTGCAATAAAAGTTAAACTCCAGTGTGAAATCAAGAGATAAAAAGTGTTATTACCCACAGAAAGAGAACTTTTATCAATGAATATACGTACGAAATATGAAAGCTATTAACATAACTGTTCAAAAGTCAATACCAAGATAAAAGTTCCTATGATTGCCTCTTTAGGTGTATTTCACGGAGTTTTAAACACTTCAAGTGATGGCGAACTCTTAAGGGAAGAAACGTGTTTTTTTTGCAAGTTAGAACATACAATGTATTCTTTTTCTTACTTAAAAGGGAATTTGACATTGAATAGAACATGCAAACTAAATGAGCAGTGTCCCATGGTATTTGGTTCTATTTGTCAGAAGAACACATGTGTCTGTGGGCCTGGATATAAACCGTATAATGATTCGGAATGTTTGTGTAAGTTTATACTAATTTGTATAAATCAAATTTAAATAAAAAGTTTTGCATATTGAATGATTTCTTAACGAAGTGTAAGAAAAAAATAATAATGATATTTTCATAGATTTGATAGTTTATAGACATGAATACCTCATGAATTTCAAAATACCTTTGTTACGTTGTGTTAGGAACAATTGCTAAACATGTAAAACAACTAAAAATCTTTCAAAACTTCGAATATATTTTTCTGCTTATTAAAAAGATCGCTGCATTTCATTTCCGGAAATCTGCATAGCATTTCCGATATTTTTTTATTTCATTTCCGACAAAATTTTATTTCATTTCCGACATAATTTTGTTTTCATTTCCGGAATTTTACCTGCACAGCGATTTAATGTCTTCCTAGTCAATGAAAATGAAATTTTAAAAGTATTTATTGCAAAATATTGATTATAAATGTATATTTAAAAATCCATTTATTATAAATAATTATATGCATAGATGTAGCACTAAGTCTAGGTAAAAGAGTTTGTGCATACAACTTTTTCACATTAAATTAGCACTTTTAAAATAAATGTCAGTGACAGCAACAAACTTATGTCCAGAACACTTGGTGTACTCTAATCGAGTTTTAAAAGCTCCGGTTGATAACACATTTTTCATATTGCTCCACACAGAACTTTATTTTTTTTATTCTTTACATCTGCCCAGAGTAAACATTGAGTCAATCACTCGACCTTTAATTTAGGTAGTTGCCTGCATTTTCCATTTTCATGGTCGTTTCATTGATAAATTTATTAAAACTTAGAAATTGGATTTCAATGATTTATCAATGATTTGTAGTCCTTTAAATTTTTCATAGGTCTTCAAATCTGTTAATATAGGTACTATTTGAAAAATTTCGGAAATGGAACCAAAAAAATGTCGGAAATGAAAACCAAAAAATGTCGGAAATGAAATGTTGATAATCACTAAAAAATCTGTATATGAAATGCAGTCAAAAAGGTGTTTAGATAAAAAAAAAAAAAGCATTCCACATTGGTAGACTCTTCATAAGTGATATATTTCTTTGATAAAACCTCAACTTAACTTTCCTTTTTTGTCTCAAAGATCATTTTCAATAAATATATAATTGCTTATAGTGCACTCTGAAAATGGAGAATTCGAAGGTCGTGCCATGGGACTTAAAGGTATAAAAATTTTCTGTAATTTATTTCAGTATTATATTTCAGTCCCTGGAGTTAAAAAGATAAATGCAAATGCATGTAGAAATACATGTGCATTCATTATTTTTTGTTCCTTTTTTTATGTTTGTAAAAATATTTCAGAAAACTTTGGTTTTATTTATGAGTAAATTTTTGTCAATTTGATAAAGTAGTGTACTACATGTATAAAAGAAAGACATTTATTCAAAACACATCCTCGAACATCTATGAGTATTCTATGATGATTTTTTAAAATTATTTTATTTTAATCAAAATTTGAAATGGAAGTATAAATGTGCGAGAATTTGTTCAAAAATACAGTATGTGATCTATTTCGTTGGTTAAGAGATAAATGTTATGAGGTTTACATACATGTAAAGGGGTGAGGATTAAACTGCAGCTAGAACGGTCGTTCCAAAACTAATGCAAAATTTCGACGCAGGAAAATGTTATATTAAACAACAGTTCCATAAATTAACTCATCATTCATAGTTTTTAAATCTATGCTATATAAACTTTCTGCCTGACTCGGTTGAAAATTAAATGTTCTCAGAGCGTGTGCTGAGTATTAAATTTTTTTGGAAGATGTTCAGATGATAGCGAAAGATTTTAATGGAATTCGTGATCTAACTGAATTCAAGCACCAACGAAAAACGTTATGAAAAATTTTGTGTCTTCCTTGTTTAGAAATTTATTATAGCTTCTGGATCAAACATTCCTAGGAATTAAATTTATTTATAAACAAATGGTGTTAAACACTAGAAATACGTGCTTTGGAATGATTTGAAAGAGCTAATCAAAATATTGGTAGTAAATTATTGTTATCCTTGCAGAATATAGAGTGGTCGGTTTGATGGTTGGAGCTGTTATTGGAGGCCTTATGTTAGGCATTGTCCTTAGTGTTCTTGGAATAATCATCTACAATATAAGAAACGAGAAACATAAGACTGGAAAAAAGTATAAAACTTATTCATTTTTTAACTCTGCTGGTCAGAGACCAGAAGTGCGGATGCGATAAGAATGCGTACGTCGTCTGTCCGTCTAACTGTCTGTCTGTCTAGCTGTCTGTCCATCTGTTAACATTTAAAAAAAAATGCTAGTCCTCCTACAGTTTTGATTTGATTTCAATATATCTTGACACACAAGTTAAGTAAACTACGCTCAGATACATAATTCTGGTTTTATCGGTTATTGATTGCAATGAACGGTGTTGCAGTGGTTACTAAAAATAGAAATTTCAATAAAATACGTTCAAAATGCTACTCCTCCTAAAGTTTTGATATGATTTTATATAACTTGGCTCACAAGTAAACTACACCTAGATACATAATAATGTGTATCGGTTTATGATTTCGATGAACAGTGTTGCCATTGTTACTAAAAATAAAATTTCTGTGAAATACTAAAATGCTACTCTAAATACAGTTTTAGTCTACTAAAAGTGAACTGTGGCATGCAGGTACAGTTTGTAGACTACATCGAGATCATAATTGTCTTTTTGTTTTGTTTTAATTTTGTTGATTGATGTTGCCATGGTAACTATAATAATTATTGTTAATTCTGTAAAATTTTATTTAAAACTACTTCTACAGTTGTAGTCGTATTGCAAATCAAGGATAATTATTTTATTTACTGTTGTTGTATAGTGTCAAGTCCCAGCTGCTTATTTTCTCTCCCTTTGTATCAGTATAAACCAGTAGAGCTACAGCCTTGAAAAAGACTTCTGGCTTCAAAAATGATTACAACAAAGTATCTTTCTGTGAATAAGCATTTATTTTGATACGTTTTACTAAATGATGTCTGAAATTAAATTACAATTTTTATTACTTTGATAAGGCAATACCCGAAGGCTGCAGTTTTTAAAAATACTACTTATGAAGCTGAAAGAGATGCAGATCAGAATATTTCTACCGTGCAATGTGAGGTGAGAAATATATAAAATATTAAATAAATGTTAATCATATAGTAACAATTTTATATTTTTTGAAAACATCCTTTTCCTGCTATTTGACAATATAATAATCTTGAAATAATTGTAAAAGATTCTAATATGATGAATGAGACAATTTTTGGCGTGATAGGTTCACGTACATAGCAAAATATCCCGTAAAACGTAGTTTAACTGGTCAGAAAATAAATGAAATAAAACAAACGTACGCTATTTTATTTAACATTTTTTTAATTCCAGAGAAAGTTTGAAAATATGCCAAAGTGTGCTAATTCCAATGATTTCTCAGTAACACAAAACACGCGCACCTTTCATGGAAATAAAAGTTCGATGATGAAAAGTTATGACGTAAATGATGACGTATACAATCATCTGCATGACAAGGAAGAGGATTCCGACATTGATGAAACTTACGACCACACCCATGGAAACATAAGCAGTGCAATGGAGGAGACTGACTACAGTAATCTCAACACAGGGATAAGATATAAGGAACCCGATGTCTCTGCTGCTGAAGATATTGATTATGATGATCGAGAGACACCTGCTGATTACTGTTCACTAAAAAAGAAGTAAAGATGTATATTCTTGTGCAAACCATAGTCCGAGGCATCCCTTTTTTCTAAAACTGTTGGATTTCTTTCATTGATTCATATTAGATCCTTTACTCAAGCATAATACTGTGGTTTCATTAATATTCGTTGAACACCAATTTTCAAGGATTTAATTATTGAGCAGATCCACGAATTTAAATGTTCATTGAATTAAGAAATTTGCTATTTATTTGAATAAGCAAATCTTTTGTCCTCGAAAGTACGTATCCTCGAAAACGTCCTTTTTATAAAATCCACGAAAATTGATGAAACCACAGTACAAATATTGAAAGAGAGCATCATTGTTTTAATATTTCCGGATTAGCTGGGGAAACCATTTTGAATGGAATTTTTTTTTCTTACGTTTGGGCGTTTTTAAGACATAGATTATTCATTTGAAGAGTTTATTTATGGTATAATCTTTCGAGTCAGAGATCTTCATTTCTTACCATTTTATAATGCTGAACAGATTTGTTTGCCCTGACACAAGTTATTTATATTTATAACTACATGTAATTGTTGCCTTTTCAATCAATCTTTCAGGATCACCTTTGCAGGGTGTTAATAATAATGATAATTAATAATAATAATAATAATAAAATAGTGGTTTAGATGAAGAATCAGGACTTGGGTCAAGAATAATCCTTGCTGCCCTTTTCGTAATTTAAATAGTCTGTCCATGTCCTGCTTGGGAGCATTACCCCAAACATTCAAACAATTATTTATAGTTAATAGATGGTAAAATATAAGCATTGTAATATAGTTTTCTGGTATGAAGAGGGATGCATTTCTTAATCCTTCGAAGAGTAAATAACAATTTAAACTTTTACAAACCGAATCAATATAATTCGCATACTGTAACTTATCATCAATTTGTACACCAAGAATTTTTTGAGTTTCAACCATTTCACATGTTTTGTCTGAGGCATAAAGTTGTAAATTTGGATTTTCTGGTTTTGATTTTCTTTTCTGTGTTCCCATTTACATACATTTTATTTTTTTACATTTAATGCCATTTGAATTTGAGCACACCATTTCTCAATTTCACAAAGAGCTGAATTTAGTGTATTTTCTAAACATCTTGCATTATGATTATTAGAGTACAAAGTAACATCATCAGCAAACATATCAATATTTGAATTGTTTACATTTAAAGGAATGTCTTTTATGTACAATAAAAAATAGAAGTGGATCCAAAACCTGTAAGATATTTATTAGGACCCGACACTCCAAACCACACTTCTAGTAGATATGTTTTTTGCATAGAGCAGATTAATATATGATTTGAATCAGACCTGGGGTCAAATACTTTGAAATGCAATGCATTAAATTACAATTACTTTGGAATTTTTATCATTACAATTACAATTAACATTATTCTCATTCAGTAAAGTAATTAATTAAATTACAATTACTTTGTTAAAGTAATAAATTACATTACACATTACATTTTATAAGAGAAACACACAAAAAGTATGACCACACAATTTATATCTATAAATTAACTTTCACACTCTTTGCTTGATTAATATGCTTTCCCTCAGATCTATAAATCATAGCAGTAGTTGGATTTTGGATTCATGTATCATGTTCATGTAGTTTACCAATCCAATTTACAGTTGACAAAGAAAGTGGATCTGAACACTTTCAATATTGTTGTTTTGTTCAATATCTGATGTTATCTCCGTTGTTTTTTTTCATTTTATAAATGATTTATTAATTAACATTTTCTGCTATATATCTCCTACTTTATGTTTATGTAAACTTATATTTAATTAACAGATAATGCTATAAATGTAAAAAGATACAATATGAGAATGTATTAAAAACTTCATTAATTAATTAGCACTTCTAATTAGCTGAACAGGTATAATCAATGAAGCTATAAATCAAACACAAGCAAAGTTGATAATTACGAGGGCCGTTCAAAAATTACGCGGACTGTGCTATTATTTACTCTTACAGACGTCATATAGATATGAATTTTCACAGAAATATGTATCTTAGAGATTCCAATAAATTTTGGGGAAAATTTCTGTATTTTAAAAAAATTCTACTAAAATTATCGATATATTGATATCGCTGATGGAGAGGTACGGCGCACAACAAAAAAATTTAAGTAAAAGATGCGGAATCAAAAATTTAACTCATTGATTTTCTAAAATTCGCGATATTTTTCAACAATTTTCTCAAATGTACCTTTAAATTGTTCAATTATTGTGTATTTAGATTTCTGACGAAATATTTGAAGTACTAAAAGAAATATAGTGATTTTTCTCTGATGCGATTCCCGTGAAAACGACTGTGAAAATGACGTCTCCTGAATTGACGGCGCACCGCACTTTTGTTAAATTATGTGTAATGCTCGAGATATCGGCAACATAGATCCAAAATATGCATAATAAAACATGTAGTAAACTAGGCTATTTGTGACATTCGTCCACAAATAGCAAATTGAAATTTTAAACCGTTAGACCTCCGTAAAAAGGATATACGGTAGGACAGGAAGAAGATTTTAGACGAAAAGTTAACTCTATCTGGACTGTATAGAACGCCACCAGTATCACGCTGTATCTTATCCCGTAGTTTTTGGTTTTAAAACAAAAAAAAGAATATTCTTTACTTGTTTAATAGATTTTAAGCTTGCAATTGACAGGAAATGGTGTTTGGATGTTAAGTAGATAAGGTAACTCAAACTATACAGGTACTCTTGGGAAAATATTGAGAAAATGAAAGCTCAATCACATATTTTTTATAATGCCTGTGACATCGAAGATTTTGCTGCGCCGTTACTTAATGATACATCCTGAAAAATCACTCAAAATTGATACCAATTTACAACATTTTGATATGAAATTTTGAAGACCATATAAGTAAAGATTCTTTTATATTATGTGTAAAATTTTGCCCGATTATGTCGTCAAATATTTTTTTCTGTGCAACAAGTCCGCGTAATTTTGGAACGGCCCTCGTACAAGTACCGAAATACAGGATGAATTTTGAGTCCTTAAGCTACCAAAAATGAATGATGTTCAATATATATCTATATTTATATTTGGCCTAAGTTTCTCTTTGTGTCTACAATAAATCATACTGATCTTGTATCATGTTTACCAAGTTCATTTTACCAAATTTAAAAGGAAAAAAAGTAGAAAAATATAATTTGTATCTTGATTTCACTGGAAGTCTCGTTACATGTATACATGTCACTTTTTTGTATCTTTATTTAAATCCTGATGATTTCTTTTAATATCTTTCTCTGGTTCTCTTCAATTGATTTTATAATTGTCTTGTCAAGAAGTTTTCTATTAAAAGAATTATTTAGTTTGTCTATCAGTTACCAATAAATAATATAAATAAATTGAAGGATATAGGATTTTAATTTAAAAACTCTTAACATAATACGTAAAAAAATAACCTGTCAATGATATTTATTTGTTTCAGATTCAAAAATAAAAAGAGACTAATATACATAATGTAATTGAAATGTAATTGAAAAGTAATTGGTCATTACTGACATTTTTTTTTAAATAATGCATTACATCACAATTACTTATAATTGAAAGATGGATCCATTACACATTACACTCCATTAATTTGAAAAAAATTAATGATTACAATGCATTACCATTACACATTACCATTACCCCAGGTCTGATTTGAATTATGCAAGTAGTTGTAGAGCTTTTAAGAAGCCTCATCAGGGGCCACGGACATAAAGTTTTGCATTCTGGATTTCTAAAAATGGTGTTCTAATATTTCAGAATACGTTTTTTTCAGTCCTTTAACGCAAGGGTTAAATTTAGTAACCAGTACTGTAGGATTGTGTAATGGCTATTCTTTATTGTGTATTCTATTTTATCTGGTAGACCATTTATCTCGCAGTGTGATACCCCAATGAGGACAATAGGACAATTTTTCGATTACTTTCTTGTACCTATTGTAAAAAACAATCAACTTAAATATATAAAAGACACTACGGAGTTTATCAACGAAATCGAAGGCCTCACACTGCCAACAAACACAATATTAATTACTTATGATGTGACGAGCATGAACACAAACATGGAATTCAACGAACTTCTCTCATCAGTAAATGAGGCTTACACACAGGCCACACAGCCTAAAACTGTTTAGTTGTGAATTTGATTAAAATTATTTAATGATTTCCCCATGCTTTATAAAACCATTTCTTATTCCTCAAAATTGAAGCCCGTAAGATCTCATATACAGGCATGCGTAATTCTTTAATTGAAATAGATGTCCAAAATCCTTATATCCTAATAAATTAATTACAAACGGACATCTGAATTCTTTTACATCACAATGCACCTCTTTAACAACAACGGCTAACAAATGAAAAATCTTCATTACAGGTAAAGCTAACGAACTATTGTTTATCTAAATCACTGTATAAACATTTTATAAGCAACTCATTTCTATGATCAGGGCATAACCAGAGAGCTACGGAAATTCTAGAGCTTTTTTTTTGTATTTTTTTTTTTCAAATTCCACTGTTAACCGGTCACAGCCATCGTAAGCCCTTTTAATGATCAGGTAGGTCGAACATTCTGTAGGATAATTAAAATCAAAGATCTTACAATCGATATAAAGCAGACCAGTCAAAATTATTGACTTTAAAGAAATGCAGGTTTAAACGGCTTTTTGAAGTTCCTGTAACACCAGCTTATCTGTCATTAGCCGTCTCAGTTCCAACATCGATCGTTGCATATGCATGCTCGTGAGTATCGCTTATATGCTGGTAATTGAGATATATTTATTACATGAAGAAAAAAAGCTGACAATGGAGAAATATATCAACGAGTTTGTCATGCAATATAGTTGTTAACTTGTCCCTATCATCGTTATAGTCCGTAAAACATTTAAGGAATAACTGTCTTATTTTTCGAATTCATGAAGTGATCAATGGATTGGCTTGTGTGATAATTTGCATAAACGCCGAAGGCGTTTATGCATAAAATTATCACACAAGCCAATCCATTGATCATCTTCATGAATTCGAAAAATCTGACAGTTATTCCTTATATTTACATGCTTTGATTCCGCCAATCCACGGGCTCCAAGCCTGCTTCTCTCTAGGTGTTGTCCTGCCCTACACGTGTTTTTTTTGGAACCGCGCCAAAACATTCATGAGGAAATCAATTACATTTACAATTGGTAATTTTATCTCGGACAAAGACATTGGAAATGTAAATATCTAGTTATGAAGCAAATAATGCTTCTACTAAATCGATCCCACCTTACAAAATAAAACTGAAAAAGGAACAATAATTCGGATGAGGACATAAATTATTGTCTTAAAATAATCAAAATCAACTGGAAAGGTTATTAATAACCTTTTGTAAAGATAGTGTATTTTGGTCCAGTATTACTCATGTCTAGTAATGAAACCTATCAAGATAAGGGATATTCGGGCCATTGGAACCTCTAAGTGATTGAAAAGACGCATTCGTACATGTATCTGCGTTTATAAATATCTACGCTTACATTCAGTTTACTTTCGATCAATAAATCGTATCAACACTAACAACAATACAAATCTTTAAATTGCATGTGTATCAAATTTCATAGT